AATGTACTCTCGCGGTTATTCTAGTTTTGCCATGCTGACCCTTCGAATGTACCAATTTTAACTATTTTGCGCGAGCTTGCATACCACATAGTTTCATGTTTTTGCATCGTCGCTTTTATTTCCCATTTCTGACTAATACTATATCAGATTCTGTACGTAAATCGTTTGATTTTTGTTAGCACGAGAAAGCAAGTTCTTCGTTCATATATTCCAACAATTGTTTTGAACGACTTCAATTTCGTATATACAATGAGCACAGAACAATGAACGTAGCGCGCTTGGGAAAAGGTAAACGACGAGGCGACAAAGAGAAGAAAATACGAACAAGCTCGTCCGCCTCACCCTCCGTCCTCCTCTCTCGCTAGTCGAAGAAAGCTCGTTTGAAGCTCGAGATTCCTAGAACTCGCAAGATTCACTGCAGCGAGTGCGCGCGCGTCGGTATTGAAATATCGCGCCCCGGGAACGTTTGAAAATTCTTGCTCGGCGCGCGGCGAAGACGAATAACTAAGAGATAAAAAGAGCGCGCTCGCGCGCGTGATGGGGGGGGGGGGGGATGAGTTGGTACAGCGGAAAAAAAGGAGGAGAGAAAAGTGCGAGAATGCCGAAGGTGAGGTCGAAAGATTTTCCTCACCTGGAATGTCTTAAGGAGGATCGCAGCCTGACACATTTTCATCGGATTCTTTCGGTGCCCCGGTACGATGAGAATTTCACGGAATCCCGGATCTGCGCCGATCCACCCTCCGGCAAGATATTATTACATATTTAAGGTATTATGAATTCGCCAGCTTCCTCTTAATGTACTCTTTCCGGCCGCTTTTCTTTCTTCCTCGATCCTCCGCACCTCCGAGCTTTTCAATGAACTGCAAGAATTCATTTATCCCGTAAAATGTGACGTGCGCTCATGCAATATCGACATTTCAATGAATTAACTGAACGCACAATATCGAATGGACAATCGACATTTTTGATTGCCGCCGCACCTGCGTTACAAACGAATGGTCACTTCAGCCGCTGCAATTCATTGACGTTGTCGTTTCTAGAAAACAAGACTCGGCGAAAAATAATGTTGCTTGTACATATGGAATAACGAATTGTACACATGGAATTCCAAAGTAATAATCAAAGCGAAACATCCGAGACACTGATGCGGCATAGCACATACACCAAGAGACAAAGTTCGCTCCCCGCCGCGCCAGTCGTGTCTCGCGTGTCATCGCAAGCTACATAGATTGGAGAACGCCTGAGCTTGCAATCTCGAGCTGTCCTTTGAGACACACGGGGAGAAGGAGAGAGTCGGCGCGTCAACACGTGCGGACATAGAAATGGATAGCCGTCGTCGGCGCGGAAAGACGCGAATCGCGCATATCGAGGATGCGAGCGAGTCTTACTCATGGGTGAGATTCCACGGGCAGAGGCGGCATACCGAAAGATGACTAGCGATTGGTCCACTTTCGGGACGTACGTACGTACCGTTGCCGTTGCTGACGCTCGCGTCGTCGCCGTGCGTTAGTCGGATCGGAGCACGCGCGCGCGCGTGTGTGTGTGTGGGTCGACAGGATCGCGCACTGCCTCGTGCATTCTCCAACCGTATTTCCCCGCGGATCGCCCGGATAACTCATCGATTCCAGCGATATGCGTCGTCGCCGCTTCTACGGCGCTCTCTCTCCCTCCCTCTCTATCGGATGGCGGCCGGTCGCTTGTCGCATTTTTGCATTTCACGTCGCATCGATCTGATTGAGATAAAGCACATCCTGTAAATAAGTACGCATCTAGACGTTTAGTTGTCGGGAAGCTCCGATTCTAATTAATGTTTCGGATACACTCGTTTTAATGCTGTTCAGCTCAGTTGAAAAAACAATTGTGATCGAGCCCTTTCTTCGCTCTCTGCACGGCTCTAGTCCATAAAAATCATTTCCGCATAGATGAATCGAAGTGCAACATAGTTTTAATCCCCCTATTTTCGCTTATTATTCAAATCAATCCGCAAAATACGTCAATTTGCATTAATACTTTCATACGTTATTCGTCGATGATTAAACTCTGACGCTGACTGCTACGTACAATTAACGATCAACGGGGAATATTTTTGAAACTATCACGTTGTTAAAGAAAAGAAAATATTTTGAAAATGTTGTGAAATATCGTGTGGAAACTAGCGTGAAAAAGTAATTAAATAAATTGTTAGCCATTCGTGCTGAAAGTCTAACGTAGTCCAAATATCCATCACGTTTGGACCATCTATAGTCATTTGATAATATAATACATGCCTAAATGATAATACTTATTCCAAATTTGGATTAAATATTTATTTAAAACTTTGTCAAACTAAGATTTATTTATTTATTACTAGTTATCGCCTTTCTACAAAGTTGTAAATTTTAAAAATGTTATAAGTCTAAATATTAAAGATCTTAATCATAACAAACTTTGAAATAAAAAATTTTTATTTTTTACAACTGATAGCAAATTTTATCAATGATTTACAGTTTTGTATTATATTTCTTTAATTTGTAGAAAAGGTTCGAGCAAAAACAACCCTTGACTATCTTATGAATCTATTCATGTATTAGTTCTAATAATCCTTTCTTAAAAAAGTCCTATATAAAAAAAGTGATAGCCTGGAAAGTAAAGGTAGTTTATTCGTGATCTGATTGGCTAAAAGTTATCTCATGCTCAGCTATCATCTGATAGTATATGAATTGTGTATGCTCATGAAAGATTACTACAGATTTTTGTAGACGATTTAAAATTCGAAAACTGTATCAGTATAGTTGACATGAGTTCGATATGAATTGATCGATTTAACCATTCTAATATCAAAATAAAAATCGACTGATACCTCAATAAAGAAATTAATTAAATTTTGCTCCGTGAGAAAGTTTCGAATAAACAGAGTAGGCAATAAAAGATATAAATTGATAGATTGATACATGTACAATAAAATATTGTATATTGATTTAAGCTCTATTCAGTTACGTAAAATATTAGAAAATATTTTTGAGAATGCAGAATTACAGTCGTAAACGTCTATCCAAGTCCGTTATTTACATCGTGAATGAACCGTTTTTAGAAAATTGTAATGTTTTTAGAACTTAAACTATATTTTTTATTGTGTTTTTTAAACCTTTTAGTAATTTTTCAACACATTACTTCGAATGATAAAAACAAATTTTATTGCTAAAATTCTTAAATTGTGCGTGTGAACGTAACTTCATATTTATTTACCAATAAATTATATCGTCAACTATATCTCATATAAAATCATAAGAATATTAATTGCATGTTGAATGTTTGAGTTTTAAATTTTGTCGATAAATGTTTTGATCGATATTCATGCACTGAGTGGGAAAAAAAGACGAAGAAAATTAGCGCGACGCACGCTAGATATCAGTATATTATGGTAAAATCATGATGGCAAGGAGATAATACAAATAAATAATGACAATATTGAATAAGAATATGGAATCGTTCCAAGTTAAATAGTGGCGAAATTTTATTAACATTGAATCATAAACGAGTTTTACAAAGTTTGGTAAACATTTTTTTAAACTCGCTACTTGGGACTATTATATTTGTGACTGTTAATATTTTGACAAAATATGGAATTGTCAAACTCCTAGCGATGAGATAATGGAACTGACTAGAAGATGTATATTACATGGTCGCAGATTATTAAAAGTACTTTTAAAAAGTTGCAATTATTAGTTGTGATTGAAGCTCACGAAAGCCCATCTTTCAAAAACATGGAACTTTGAACATAAGAACATTCATAACTCGTCGGCAAAAAATTGAAGCAAGACAATGATCGAAATACCATTACTGAAAATGAGATAGATCAGCTAGACTTATGAATTTCATCTCTGTATTTACAATACTTTCTCAATAATTATTTGTGTGTATAAAGTGTTATGGTCCTATACCATATGCAACAGCTTGTAAAAGTGGACTTCAATTCAACATTCTGTTAGATTGCTCTTCAAGTACACAATATATTTATATGATAAAACCGAGTTGGAACAGTATATTTTTGACTGGAGAAACTTATGAGCCAGATGTGAAAAATGTAAGCGTCTTTATCAAAACCTCAAATTCTTACGTGTTTAAATTTAAATGTTTCAAGTGTACAAATGTATGTCACCCATAAGAAATACATTGTCACTGAATTCAAATGTTTCTAAGTGTTTAAAATTGGTGACAAAGTATTTCTTATGGACGACGTCATATTAAACGTTTAAATTTAAACCTATGGGTTTACCGTGATGTAGCTGAGTAGTTTATTTTTCAGAAAGCCGTTGAAGGGATATAAAATACCAAAATATCAAAAGGAAAACAATGTTGGAAAGCGTACCGAAGCAACTGGATTTCGAAACAAGAGCGACGAATGCGCTACGCTTATTTAGGTGTACTATAAATGATCGGAATCATTCTTATACTTTTTGAATGGGATAGGTGTTAGATCGGATCACCAACTACTCAAGATTGAAAGGGCCAGTTAGCATTTATATTGCTCGACAAAAACCAAAAGAAGATGAAAACATTTGGTTTTAATTGTTTAATATCTCCATTTATACGCTATGCGAGTAGCCTCACTTTCTCTCTCTCTCTCTCTCTCTCTCTCTCTCTCTCTCTTGTGGAGCGGCAAGACGTGCCTCGAGAAGGATTAGGGTTTATGACCGCGGTTGATCAGAGTGGGGCCCGAAACCTGCCGTATTATGCCGTTGCCGTGTAGCATTGACACAATTTGAACTGCGGCTGTACCGCACTGCGTGATGTAGATGGCATGTTTACAGCGCCGTATCTTCATCCAGCCTAAGTGGGTCCGACGGCCCAATTATCGGAAAGTTGCCTCCCTCTCCCTTGACGACAAGGGAGGAGCGAGAGATTTCGAGTTAGGCAAGGCGAGCGAGGACAGTCAGTTCATGTTCGACAACAGCTCAGTTCGAGCCCTCTGACACGCCAATCAACAGTGAGTTGATCTACGGTCACCAGCCAGTCTGTACGTTCGAATGCTTTGCGCGCGCACGAATCTTCGGACACAGCCTCACAGCCGCTGTCGCGGAAGTCGTTCTAGTGCACCTTCCGGGAGTCCACCTTCTTGCGGCTACAGTGCCTCTCGTCTTAAGAGAACATGGGTAATTCTTGGCTATTTCGATTGACGTAACCCTTAGGTTATGGATTTTTTTTGATTTGGCACAATTGTTGTACACATAAAAGTGAGATTTTTCCCACATTTTGAAGACGATACATTAATTATATCAAAAGTTATTAACATTTAAAGAAAAATGATAAAAAATTTTCAAACGGCTGTATTTTAAAAACTAATAAAGATATCGAAGTCGGATTTTTTTGAAAATACTTATAATGCCTTGAAATTTCGAAATAATTACAACAATAAACAATAAAAATTTTTTTTCGAAAGTTATTAACTTTTTGTTTAAACAATTGCTAATATCTCAAACAGTATATATTTTTTTAATTCTTGCTCCTGCGTGTTCCTGAGGATTTTTGCTATCGAAATCGATGATAACATTCAAGGCCCGACATATCGGAAGGTATAGCCCTAATTAGAAGAAATCGCCTCAGCGTAAGACCACGAAGACGTCCCGCTGTCGTTGCGACGTACACCGAGGCATCTTCTTTTGATTATGGCTACCCTTCCGATATGCCGGGCTCTTGAATTTTATGATTGATTTCGATAGCAAAAATCCTCAGGAACACGCAGGAGCAAGAATTTTTCAAAAAAAATATACTTTTTGAGATATTAGCAATTGTTTAAACAAAAAGTTAATAACTTTTGAAAAAAAATTTTTATTGTTTATTATTGTAATTACTTCGAAATTTTAAGGCATTATAAGTATTTTCAAAAAAATCCGACTTCGATATCTTTATTAGTTTTTAAAATATAGCCGTTTGAAAATTTTTTATCATTTTTCTTTAATTGTTAATAACTTTTCATATAATTAATGTATCGTCTTCAAAATTTGGGAAAAATCTCACTTTTATGTGTACAACAATTGTGCCAAATTAAAAAAAATCCGTAACCTAAGTGTTACAAGTCAATCGAAATACCCACGTAAGTAAGTTAACTTCGCTCTCGCAAGGTTACCGGAGCCAAATCGATTAATACTTATTAATTGTCGTTGAGCTAACTGACATCGACTTTTTCTCTACGTACAACTAGGGTTTTTATATGCGTTTTGCTCTTTCATAAATTAATTAACCTTCACTTTATAAACACAAATCGCGGTTTTACAGTTTTATGTATTTAAATTTGAAAAAGCCTCCTTCCCGAAAGTTTTCGAGAACAACCTTGACTTTGGAGTTTGTTCAAAAGAACCCTTTGTTATTTAGAGCTATAAACATTAATTTTCAAATCCGATATTATTTCTATTCAATCTACTAAGACTTGAAACTTTTTGCGCAAGTTCGTATAACATTTGAACATAATAAACTGGTCATGCACGACAGCCATATATCAAAGTTACAATCAGGTAAAATAATTAACAACATACCATCGAACATAAGATAAATTGCATAAAATCCACAAATTGCCCGAAGCAGCGTGACCCGAAAAAAAAAACGACGCGAGATCTAAAAGATATGTCAGCTCATTTCCCTCGACACGCGGCGATGAAAAGTTTTTTTGCCGATGCCATCTTGAAAAACAAACTAAATGGTGCATCGATAGCCAGTCTATAACACCGCGCTCCGACATCAGGCAATGTCAAGCGAACTTCAGTTGGCACGCGAGTTGCGTTAGTGTGGCTCAAGTTGCTTGCGCCAAATTCAGAGATAGCGCGAGTCGCATTGAAAACGATCGTAGCCCGCAGGCGGCAGGAGGGAATCCTCTCTCGGTCTAATGCGAAGGTAATTTATTTACCGCCAAAGCGGCAGTAAGCAGCAGCAGCAGCATCTGGACCGGACGCGAGCAGCTCGTTACCCTCAGGCAGCAGGAGGATCTTGGAGAGCTTCCGCGTCTACGCCAGGCGCGCATATAATATCGCGTCCGCTGATTTACGAGGCCACGTTGACAAGACCGTTAAGTAAGATCCCCCCACCTCCTCCTTGGCGCGTATCGCAACAACATCAGACTTTTCTAATCGACCGCCGTCGGCGAATATATGCGTGTCTTTTCGCCCACTTGATTAGTCCTGAGACTCGACTGCAGCGATCATGCACTTTTCTCTCTCGCTCTCTTATAATTATATCTACGCGAACGCAGCGCAGGATTTATTTTCCTTGCCGTTCCGCATTTGCTGCACTTTCATAAGCTCTACACTCTTGTCTGTTTGCTTGCATTCGTATTTATAGACAAAGGTTATGGTACTGATTCACCTCAAATAAGATTGTTTTGTCAAGGTCTTTTATTAGATTTCCACTTTCATTTTTATCGATACATTTTTCATGAGACTTTCAAGATCGGTTTTTATAAATCTACGCGATCCGGCATTAAGATAGACTTCCTATTAGTTTGTGTTCTGAAAAACATTAATTGGTCTCTGTTGGATGCAGTTTAGCAATTTTATTGCATATCGCAACGAGCAAAAATGATGTCAACGAAACATCTATTTGCGACAGGGCGTTGAGGGACACGAATAATGGAGCGCGATCCACCCATAGTGGAAAGTAAAAAGGCCACGAAAGCGGAGCATGAGAAGAGTCTCAGCAAAGAATTCATCCGAGCGTTGAGCTTGCTCTACTCCCCTGAAGCCAACAGCGCAGAAGAGCTTCGGCTGATGCTGGAAATTGAAATCGCCAAACAAAAAAAACTGAAGCAGACGAAATTACGAAAGTATCAGCAGCGACTCAAACGACGAAAAGCATGCGCCGCCGACATTGTGGGCAGCGAGCACTTGACGGCCGAAAAAAGCTCGAGACCGCAGACAAAACAGACGATCGCCGACAAAAAAGCACAAGTCATTGCTAATCTGGAGCCCGCTGCTGAAGACTTTGCAAACAAGGACGACATACCGATAATTTCTATACCCGACGAGGATCAGAATGACGAGGCAGTTTGTAAGGTTAGTGGGCGACACGTTTACTTTCCGTTGAACCACATCCAATTATTTTATTTAATAATTGGTAATTTCAACTGATCTCGCTCATTTCATGTATGACCACTGTCGAGAAACCATAGCGTAGAAATCATTGCGCAAATGTGGCAACTTTTGAAAACGCAAATCTACGTAGTGTAAATGACGAAAGAAACCATGAGCTCGGTCGAACCCGGGATAACTCGAACCTATAACGAGCTCGCAGCTTTAGCCAAGTCGGGCATTTATGCTCGAAACTTTGTGTACTCTCCAAATAAAAATAGAAGATTCCCACCCTCTACAAAATCTTTTTAAGTAAATAAGTTTAAAGTGCATTAAAATTTTAAATGGATGTAACTTTGAAATCAAAAATTTGTCTTAGAGAATTATACAAGCTATGGATTTTTTCCCGACTTTGTCGATGAAGGCAATTCTGCTTTTGAAGGAAATAAGAAAATAAGCTAGGAATTGCCGATTGTTTTCATAGCAACAAAAAATTGTCCGAGGAAAAAATAGAGAATTTTGAACTATCTTGAATTTAGCGCATCGAAGCTGACATAAATAGTTTACATCGGTTCGTATATGGCCGTAAACGGCAAAGGGAAAACTATTTGACGGGTAGTTTAGTGTTGCCACAGCTTTGTTAGACGGCTGCGCATTTAGAAACTCCTGTTCCTAAAGTTGTGTCAACTGTAGTTGCAATTACTGGACAGTAGCTTTATCCCACTGAAGTTATAATATAAACACAACTTCATAATTGGTGGCTAGTGAATACCTTCATTTACTGCATATATCGTAAACTACAAATATAACTTTGTATTTCACGAAATGTAAATATTAGTCGTACAATTACAATACCCGAAAAACAAATACTGGTCGAGCTTGAATTTACAATTGTGATTTGTAGCTCGTATTTTTCTGATTTTCTAGCAATTGGTTTCTAATCGCATTGTTAAGCTTTTATAAATTTTAATTTACAGGTATGTAATGTGCCAGGATTCGGTCCACTTACGCTTACACAATGCAATGCTTGCGAAAAATATTACCATCAACTTTGCCATCAACCACCAATCGTAGATGCTTGCCTTCAAGAATTTCATTCATTGTGGCATTGTGAAGAATGTAAAAACAATAAGATTACCAAAGTTAGATAAAATAAAAAACTATTAATTCAAGAGCTGCGTCACTGAAGTAATGTATGAAAGTTCATATCGGAAGAATTTTGATTTTTGGGTTATTTTATTTTAGATTATATAATGCGAGTGCTATTTTCAACAGCACACAGAATAGAGTTGCTTCTAAAAAAATTAACAAATGACATGAGTGGATTTATTAGGGATGAATGAAATAAACCAAACCTAATAATTAACAATCACACATTTTATTTTTTATCATTAAATCAGTTGTCCATTGTATTCATGTACTGAAAAGTGAGTGTCAACCTACAGTCAGATAAACTGAAAAACAACCATAGGACGAACTTTGTACCTATATTTTTTTTAAACTCCTGGAAGATCAATTACCGCAATCATTTCAAGTTTTAACGCATTCATAATGATTGTACTAACAAATCAATGATTCATTTTTCACACACTGCACAACGATTAGGAAATTATTCCTCCGATCTTTACAATTACTTTTTTTACACTTCATACACTATGCATTTGTGACTAAATTTTACAAAAGAAAAACGAATTTAAAAAATTGGTAAAATTTGAGAGCTGAACTTCGTTAAACGTGTATTCGTTAATTGGCCACGCGAAAAAAATTTTCGCTAAGAGAAAAATGGAAGCGTGCGAAAAAACTTTCTGTACTTTTTTTTAATAAGATTAGAAGTTTCGGAATGAGATTAATACTTCATCTTTAGTTGTTTCTATAAGCTGTAAATGTTGAAAGTTTTAACAAATGATCACTACAGTTTAATTTCTTAATCCTATAAGTTTAATATAAACAATGATATTGTAGAAAATTGTAAGCATCACATCTAAAAAATGCACACTCTATGAAAAAGTTCCAAGTATTGCTTGAAAAGACATTTTCAAATAAATTATCTAAAATCTAATTTGTAATATGGAAGCTACTTAGTATATAAAATTAAAAAACAAGTGGCATCAGTTCGCTTGACGTTATGTTTTTCACAACATTGATACAGCAAGTTTTATTATTCAATTAAGCGAATTGAAAATTGATTTTTATTTTATCCTTTACTACTAAAAGTCAAGCCAACAAATCAATAATTATTCTATTGATATTTATATTTTTACTGTGGAAAACAAATTATGCGTTTCTTTTTTCAATGCATCACTTGGCACCTGTTCTATATGCAACGAATTAATGTATCTGTCTAAGGTTAACTACAGCTTGATTCGGAATGAACCTATATATAATATCTTTACATTGATCAATTGACATAAAATAAATGTTTTTTTGATGATTCTCAATAGAATTCAATAGCATGACGAATAAGGATTTTAATATTTTACTAATATATTGTCATTAGGAAATAACAAAAAAATAATTTACATACCTTTCAAATCTCCAAAATATATTGTTATGATATTGCAATCAGAAATAGACATTATCTTGAACGTAATGTAATAAATCTTATTTCGTCTTAATAATATTTAATTATTTTTAGAATTCATTTTGAGAGCCATTAACATATAAAACGTAACTGCTAAAGTTATAATTCAGAGTTTGATAGTTTTTATAAAAAATAGATGCTTTTTATGAATGATATTTTATATATAAAAATGTGCAAAAAGGATTTCGCCAATTACAAGTGCCTTGAGATTTACAATTCACATCAAGCTTATTAAAATGTAAAATGATTGATCATTGACCTGTAATTATACATATAATACAATGTCTATACATACAACGATAATTCGTACCGAACTCTATAAAATGTTTTCAAAAATATATAAGCTTTAAAAAAGTACCGGCAAACTTTTAAAGGTTTTGATTGTATCTATTTGACGCAAAAACTTTTCAAGAGCTCCACACACCTCTAGAACATAGTTTCCTTATTAATAACAAAACGAATATTTGTTGTGATACTACTAAAAAAAATGATCGATGTACAATTTGGAATTTAAGTTAAAATAACTGAACTATTGTGGTAACAGAATTCATGAAAAATATAAAATTATATATCTTTTAGCAGTTTGTACAAAAAGTTATCCAGAAGCGAAAAAGTTATTGATATCTTATTGACTTCAATAATTTTATGCATTTATTATAACATAAAGTTATATGTGCGCCAGTGTAATGCTTTTTCATTCATTTATAACTTACGTTTAATTACTTTGATATGAAGGACAGTTATTTGAATTGTATTGGTTAGTAAATGAAATGTATGCATAGATTATCTAGAAAATTCTGAGATCTTTTAGTCAAAGCCTTTAATCGAACTTGTTCTAAATAGTTTTTTTATGAAATGAAACAAGTAGATAAAAGTTCTAGCGACTAGATATATTGATTGGACTAGAAACCTTATAGTTTAATTTCATTTCACTTTTCTCAGCCGTATTTTAGATTTTACGTAATACAAACCGAAAATGCTAACAAAATGAGTAACGGAACATTCAACTTATTCATTATGATTCGCTACTTACAATACAATGTTTTATAATCCACTAATAATGCTACAAATTACTGCTATCAATAACAGCAAAAATCACACTGGCGGTATCCGCTGCAAATTGAAATATTATCATTTAATACCTAAATTTTAAGTACTATTATTTATTTCAAAATTTTTATCGTGTTTTTTGCAGCAGATTTCCAGATACAGTGAAACGCATTTTAAAATTTATGACAAATCTCATTTCTCTAAATCTCAATCCACTTTCAATAAATGTAAACCATTTCCCACAACTAGCTGATCCACAGGAAAATCCAGGATGACAGTAGCATGGAATGCCATGTTGGCTGATGCTATGACATACTCACAAAGAGAAAACCAACTAAATGCTGTGAAAATAATGTTATTTCATTAATTGATTGTTGCTCAATTGAGCTACTATTTGTTGCTTAATTGAAAATCTAGATAAGTAACTAGATAAATATAACTTGCCCAGATCATGACATAATAATCTATGCTTTAGGAAAAAAATTATAAGGCCAACTGTACTGATTATACTCGTTGTGAAAAGAGCTTGTTTGTACTGCAGACTTTGTGCATTTGGTGTAACTAAGCGACCCAATCTTACTGCTACCAGCATATGTAGGAGAGAACTTATCATGAACACTATAAAGGTCTTTTCGTGCACAGCTGAAAAAAAGAATCATATTTAAATTGTGTAAAAAAAAGTAGAACTTATACTACTTGAAGTATAAAAATAAAAATGTACCATAATTTTCCTTATTAGAAATATATGTAACACCACAGAGGGCAGCCACTTCAGCAATGTTTAGCCAATAACAAATGTTTAAAAGTTTAAAACCATGCGATCTTTTAGGCACATTCTCAAAAGTCTTGAGAATTTTGTAGTAAAATGAGTAGTAAACACTGGCAATAAGAAGACGTGGTCCAATGTGCAGAGCTACACTCACACGCCACAAATAACGTTGAGGTGATACTCCAGTAATAGCTGATATTGACGGAAGAACATTATAGACCTGCAAATAAAATAGTTGCATTTCAACTTGACTGCTTTCCATTTAAAATTAATGTTTTTTAAGATTTCTGATGAGATAGAAATTTTACCCGACAGTGCGTTTCATGGATGTCATCTTGTTGGTATATGTAAGCTGTTACAAAACAGAATAACAGAGTAACAAGAGGTATCGACACTGTGATAACACACAACTTTCGAAATGGGACCATCAAATATATAGAACTTTGGCTGCTCGCAATATTATTGACCTCCATAATGCAGTCCTCTTATGGAACTCAGCAACCAGTTATACAGGAACTTAAGTTATCACCCAATAAGCAAGACATGAAACCATGACTGGCTAATCAAGAGGTAAAACTTTTGCATTTTAATCTCATCTCTTAGATACTTGTCTCAATAATTGATGCCTTCATATTGAAAATACCTTAAATCAAAATTACATTTATATTAATCTACTGATTACACCTACCATTATAGATTTATTATACAGAAAAGATATGTAGGGCTATCCATTATACTATCAATAAGTAAATTTAGCAATTTATTTTGTCTAACTACATATCACTATCAGTAGCTTTGTCAGCCACTTCATATTGTGCAATCTATATAACTTTTTATCTTTTATTATGAAAGCAATAGCTTTATCATCAATGTAATATTGCAAATCTTGAGTTGACAGCAGAGTTATAGCTCACATAATCAGTAATAAAAGAATGTGATTTACATTGCATGGTGTCAAGAGGTTACCAAACCTATTGTAAGCAAAGTGTATTTAGATAATATGAATTGCTGAACATATTTAAATAAGTAATTAAAAATCAATAATGAGAGCAATTCCTTGAGTAATAATACAAAAATACCTAAGAGATTACTCTCATAATTGATTTTTTTATTACTTATTTGGAAAACAGAGTGAAATAAATTTTAGACTGAGAATATTTATTAATATAGCAAGGAATGGCCCTCCACATATATATAAAGATAGTAAGCTTAGATTAAGATTCAGGTGATAATTTATGGTCTTATACACATTAATAAAAATAATTATGCAAAAGTAATATACATTTTATTTGAAAATATTTTATTTGTTAATTAATGGATTCATTTTATTTCATAAACACAGTAATGTCCATAAAAGCAAAACGTTAAATTTTATGAATCTAAGAACATTTTATAATAATTTACAGATTTTATCTGAACAAAAAAGTAAATCCACTAATAATAAATGAAGACTACTCTAAATTTTTAAAAGAATCTAGAATTGTGAAAAAATTTTAATAATCTACAATGTAATTTGAGTATTATTTCAAAGTTGCCTGGCTAATAAGTAGTAAACCTTTATTGTATTGTTGAACAATGGAAAATAGTGAATTATAAAAGTTGAAGTAAACAGAAAGTATGTAAAATAAAAAAGAAGAAAAAACCTTGAAACATAAATTTATTTCTTAAAAGATAAATATGAATTAGTAAAAAGTAGGCTGTGTGCTATTATTCTTAATGTGAATATTTTTCCTTATTTTCAGATGTGGTTCGTTTATCTTGATTAGATGCTGTAGGGGATTATTAGGCTAATCAAATTTAACCCATATTAAAGCTAGTTATACAGTAATTTTGGACATCGTATAATTAGCTTAGCCATGCAGAAGATATTTTAATACATTTGGCTTTATAAACCAGTGATTTGTGTCACCTTTTTTGAAGGTAAAATCTTTCAAGAATATGCTTCAATTTTGTTTCAACTTTTGGATTTAAAATTAACTAGTTCCCTCAATGAGAATAGTAGTATTGCCTAATTATATTTCCCAGCTTTATCTGGCTATTGCTGGTTGTTTAATCAGCTGATATTTTAGATTGCATAATGTATAAGATAAATACATTATACGCCTACTTTTATGCAATCAAGCTCGACATTTACCACAAGTAAAACTTTAAGTTCTAAATATCTTCCAAGCAGATTTTTCATATCTAATTCAAATTACACAAGAGAAATAGAATTTTCTTGGACACTGATGATAGCTATTAATAACAAAACTTAGAGCCAAGGTGTACTAGGGAAACGCGAAACTTCTCTAAATAGTGTTAATTCTGTTAACTCAATACACATCGTCAAGTAATCGCTATATAGGTATGTATCAAATTTACGACTATATCCGTGAGAAGTCCGAATAGAAAAAGAACGAAAATGCTTGTTGTTTGATGAATAAACTTGGCAGATAAAGTCAACGCCGTCTTAATTTTTAAACTTGTATTTAATGATTGAATAATTGATAAACATATAACACGTGAAATTTTGTGCGCAATGCTAAAGTGATATATGTAGTATACTATCAAGTAGCGAAGGCAGTCACTGGGACGAATCAACTTTGTGAAGAAGCGAAAAATTAGATCACTGCTGCGCTGGTGTGCGAGCTATTCGACGATATAAGATCAAAGCCGCCAGCTAATTTTTTTCCCTTGTACTCATGCATTTTTACTTGTAGAACAGAGCTACTGGTTCGTGTCACACTTACTTGTCAGGCAAAGACTATTGTGGTGTGAATTTCCATGTTTGGTGGCAGTTGAAATATACAAAAGCTCTCTCCACCTTCAAAATGGATAAAAGCGCAGGGGAAAAAGAGTCAGATTTTTTCCGTCGGTATCTCACGACAACAAACTACGCCAGATAACGTTTACTAGATAGAGGTTCACTGTTTAGAATTATGCTTGATCAGATTTTCACAAAGCACGGTGTTGTATATTTCTTTATACGGATGCAGGGTTGACCCCCGATCCAACCAAGTATTTCAATAAGATTGGAACAACAATGGCTATGCAAGTGCGGTAGCGCACACTGCACAGAAGCCGAGCGATTCCTATAAGACTAGGGGCAGACTGATTGGAGCGCTGTTAGCGGTGAAAAATGGGGGCTTGGATCGCCGTCGGTAATGCGGTTGCTAGTTTCGAAATATTATGGATCTTTTGAAGTGCTACGATTTTATTTTAGTTTTCATAATATCATAAAACTTAACTCAAGAACTATCATTTTTATTCGACTAACACATTTTTTAAGTGAAATCAATTGACTGTGCGATAAATTAAAGAGAATAAAATAATATTATTCACTACATAAGGCATCAGCTCTCATGTATGGCCTAGAAATGAACTAGGTTTTTACACGTTAAAAATACATTGCAATTTAGAATATGCAATATTAACTAGTTATATAACTCTTTTTTACATCTTATTCTACAAACTCAGTTTTAACATTTTTTAAAATTATATTCACTTTTTAATTCTATTTTGTTATTTTACATTCTTATATATTCTTAAAAACCTTTTTCCTTTTTTCGTTTTACATTTTTACATTTTTACTTTTTATGTTAACTTTTATATTTTATTTGACATTTTTACATTTTTACCTTTGTACAATTTTTTATCAGTTCTTGTGATTAGTTTACAACTGTGTAATGTGTTATTACGGTAAAGTCTGATTCCAAATAGAATTGTTTTGAAAGAACCCAAACCAAAACAAATAAACAAACGCACATTGTAACTCATTGATAGCTTGCGTCCTCTCTTCCACTTCCACGATTTGTTCAGGTTCAGACGTTCATTCACCGCGCCCATGCAACCCGCCCAGCGCCACCCTGCACAGTGCTGCCCTCAAATGGACGTTCAAAATACTTTTTTCCCATTCAAAAAGCAAATATCGTAAAATGATCTTGTTTGTTTAGGATTCTTTTATACCCAATTCCAACAGAATTAGCCTAGCAGAGATAAAACTCAAACTCTAGTTCATTCATAAAACTCTGTCACAATGTAGAATCTCTTGAAAATTAATAATTGTTATACACAGGCTGAGAGCCTCGTAAAGATGCAGAGATTGCAGCAGTATGAGAGTTGGTCCGTGAGAAAAGATCAGCGCTCCCTGTTGGGGTAGGTAGAGTGAGAGAAAATAGCTCGTCGTAAAATGTTAAAGAGCGGCAAGGTCGATGCGTGTACGCACATTGTTTTGTCGAGGCGCGGAGCGCAAGCAACCTGTTGCTGCGTGCATAGCCCAAGCAAACGCGCGACTGGATGCTGCTTTCCATCATGGCCGACCGATTTACCTGGGCTGTGTGCGCGAGCAAAGAGCAGTGACGCGTCGATCCTCTGCAGCTGCGTTTCTCCCCTTCTCTGTCTGTCTCTGTTCTCTCATTCTTTTCCCTCCATTTGTGCACGCACTGCTATTTTATTCTTACGGTTTTTGCACGCCTGCCTGTCTTCGTAGTTGCGCGTGATTTTTCAATTAGTTGAGTGAATCGCCGCTTCTAAGAGTCTTTCTCACGTTATCAGATACGGTCAAAACAAGTCATCGTCTTCCCTACAGATCTTGTACGCGTGTGTGCGTGCGCGTCCTCCAGTTATTCCAATTTCTCTTTCTCTCTCTCGCTCTCGTTCATTTCTGCCCTGACTCTCCTTTATCCGGTAGGCGCAGAAACCTACCTTTCTCTCTCTCTCTCTCTTTTTCTCTGTCGTGCGGGTCCGTGGCCGGCGGCAGCGTGCTCTCCTCTCTCGGTCCGTGCGGCTGCGGTGTGTTCTGCGAGGCGGGCAAGCGGCATCAGTCTCTTTCCCCTCGTCGAGCTCGACGAACCTGTTGCCTGTGCAGGCGCGTGCAGAGAGATCCCGAGCGGCAGGTGTATATATCTGTGTGCGTGCGTGCTGCTGCTACTGCTTTTATCTTTGGAATTTGACGCGACGAGCGCGCGTCTTGATGATGATGATGATGCTGCTGCTGGCGCTTGCCGAGTCGAGCGTTGCCATGACGATTTGACGCGGAACGCACGCGCGCGCGCGCGAGTGATGTTCGAAGTGTGCGGGTGCAGTTGATTTTGCATGTTTGTGGAGAGAAAGCTTCAGGCTGCAGTGATATTACCGAGCAGCGTACGAGTCAACAACAACAACAGCAGCGAAGGCCACGTACCGAAGAGGTGAGTGTTATATTTGCACGCGGAGAGAAAATTCCTTTGCTAGTCCCTCTCGGTGATCCTTTTCTTTCGAGTGTACAGTTATAGTCCGTGACTGTGCGCGCTCACTCGTGTAAGTGTACCTTGGTACGTGTACTTTGAGACACCTGGTCGATCGCCCAGATCTCTCTCTCTCTCTCTCTCTCTCTCTCTCTCTCTCTCTCTCTCTCTCTCTCTCTCTCTCTCTCTCTCTCTCTCGCTCGCTCGCTCGCTCTCTCTCTCTCTTTCTCGCTCTCTCCATCTGCTGCGGCTCTTTCTTTTAACACATTATACACCTCTTGCCAAGGCTTTTATCTCTAATCTATCGATGGAATATGAGAACTCGGAGCGCGCGCGAAGCAGGAAGTGAAAGTATATATGCACAAAACATGGCTGTATCACTAAATTGCTAAATTTTTGGGCTCTTTTGTGCATAGCTTTATATTATTTTAAATGGGCTCTGATGCAACAATCTGCATTCTCGTGTTTGAAATGAATTACTCCATTCCGTTCTGTTTTTCATATTCACACACAAATTAATATTTGATATAAGGGTAATTTGCCTGATTGTATGAACTGATGGCGATCAAATCGGTAATATGATATACGACTACACAACGTTTTTGCAAACTAACAAGTTGTGACATAATGAGATATCAAGTTTTGCGATACAGAAAGCTGTATTATCTATTGATTTGCGATACAAAAGAAGGTAGACATGACAAGATAATGTCTTGCTGATAATGAAAGAATAAAATCGTCCCCATAAGTTATATTTCACGAACAAGTATATACTATACGCTAATCTCGTAAATCGACTGAAAGGTCAATGGCGCGTAAAAAAGCTCGATTCTTGGTGGAAGCGGTCTTTGCAAATCTATATTTCCTAGCGCGGAGAGATGACTCACGAATCTCACGATAAATTCTTATGGAAATAAAAATAGTTAAAGTAAATCGCAAAAGAAAGCAGCGTTATATAATTGTTCAAGCTTCTTCCCGAGCTTTTTTTGCAGGCGTATGTACAGTAAGATCATTAAATCTACGTCTATCCGTCAAGAATTTTACATAATTTATCCATGTTTTTCGCCAACAAAAATATACTTGGACGTAACGGCTTGAAATTGAAAGCTGCGTGGAGGCGATGTATCGACCGAATCGGTTACATCTAAATTTTCGCCGATGACAGACAGCTTGAAAGAGAGAAAGAAAGAGAGAGCGAATGAGAGACAATGTAATCGTGAAATTGCGCAGCTATGCGAAGATACTACGACGTTACGTAATCTCCTCTGCACGAGGAGTAAATAATAAGACGGCGCGGCAAAGCAGACTTTTCCCATCGATTGCAAACGAAATAAACAAGCTCCCGTGGCCCGAAAAAAAATTCGTACGTGCAAAGCAACTTGGGGGAGAAAAAATCGTGAAAACTAATAACAATTTATCAGAGGCGACCGACTCCATTGTTTACAAGGCACTCGGTGTATACAGAGAACTGCGCACGCGAGTAATTTCTCTTTCCATACCAATTTCGCATGGAGCCCAGTCGAAGGACATAGGCGAGAGAAGAGAGTCGATGCGCATCGGTCGGTCGGATGAATATTCAAGTGGTCTACGCCGCGCGCGGCACCGATGCACTGAGATGTATATCTGTTATACCAAGCGCGTGGGTATATAACGTTCGCGATCCTCTCTCTCTCTCTCTCTCTCTCTCTGCACGTGATCAACCTGACAAAAATGCCTCGCACACGCCTGTGACGGCGTATACGCTCGGGATTATTTCTCTCTGCGCGCACATTCCCCGGGCTGTTTTTCACTTGGCGAATAGTCCTGTTTTTGCGCGCGTCTGGCGCTTGCCGCTGCGTTGTCTGCTCCAGTTTTCTTATTTATTTGTCGCTTTCCTCGGCCGAAATGCGCCGACCTTCGACATCTCTTCGCGTGCTCTTCGGAATACTTGGTGATCGTCAAGGCCGCAGACGGAGAGTTCAGTTTCCCGCGAGTATCTTTTACGAAATGGATGGCGCTGAGACTTGGCGACTCGCACGTTGCGGGAAACAGTTGCGGCGGCACGTAAATCGGCGCGCTCTTCGAAGTCCGCGTCCAGCGCGGACACACGCATGCTCGGCCGACTTTTTTTTTGTCGCTCCGATTCGGGAAACGACCCCGCCCACGCGCAGATTAGCCAACGTCGCGCGCTCGCCGCGTGGCGACTCCGGCCTGATTTTGAAAAGTGACAAGCGTCACGATATACCGTGGCGGCTCGTGCGCTCGCGGCAGAGGGCGTCGTTCGTAAACGTGCACCTACAGAGTTTCACGCCAGTCAAGGCTGTAACGAAGGAAAAGGAAGAACCACCTTCAAACGAATGGAAATATATGAGTCATAGGAGAAAATGACGGAGACTCACTGGCCTGTGAAGCGCACTGTTGTTTTGTCGCGCCGCGTCTCTCCTCCTTTCTCGTGGGGACACGACTATATAAGAAGCTTTTAACAGTATGCATGGCTAACCCCGAGAAAGGTATATCGTGCGGCCGTCGCCTGTTTTATATAGCAGCGTGGGCGGATTTCTCGCATTCCATTGGGGCCATGAATAATTCGGCGAAAGCATTATAACGAGCCAACCAAAAAATTATATGCTTCCATATCGTCAGCTTCGCCTCTTTGTTGCTTGCCTGTCATGCGCATTTTTTACGAGTCGCACGATTCCGATTCAACTTCTACCTATGTCGACGTCTCCCCTTTCCTTTCTTACAACGCAGATTTTCACCTATCGATGCTTTATTGTCGTGGCCGATTGTTTCACGCTGATCGTTCGGCGAAGCGTCATTTGCGTGTGTTTTCTATTTCAAATTATTTTGAAAGATTGACGTCTGCTGAACTCGATTGAGCTTCTCATCACAGCGAGCAAACGGAAATTACGTTTTTTTTTT